TGCTATTTCATTTACACTGTTAAAGTGTTGGATTCTCATGCTAAACATGGCCAAAGTTTCAAAAAATGAGTTGGACGTGTTTCTGTGCCAAACACACATTTTTTCAGGATTTGTACAAGTTTCAGAAAGGGTTTTTTTTGTATTATGGCTCTGTATGACGTCATAAAGGGCAGAATTCCTTGTATGGGCACTTCTCCTACAAGAGCACGCACACATCAAACAGGGGTGCGTTTCCCAGCTGTAGTCGTTAGTTCCTCTGAACTCTATTGGTAACGACAGAACTTGTGACCATAGTTGCTTTTGGGAAACAAATCCCAGAGCGAGATTGAGAGCAGCCCATCAGCGTGCTTCATTCGGTTCGGGAAGACATCGGCAGCGCTGCACAGGACTTGCTCCAGAAGGATTTGTCTTTTTGTTTTGAGACCACAAAACTACAATGTCACCAAAGAAATGTGTTTTTGGTTGCCAAAGAAACCAGCGTGAAGAGAACAGTGGATGCAGTTTGTTTCTCCGGGGCAGCAACGGAGTTGTGCACGTGTGTTTGTTTGTTCCCGGCATTTTGGTAACAAATGTTTTATAAACAATGCCCAGTTCGATTCTGGATTTGCACATTGTTTGATACTGAAAGATGGAGCGGTCCCAGCGATAAATGATCCCGTTCATGAGTCAGAACCTCGGGCAATAAGTAAAACTGCATCAAATTTCTGTGTTTTGTTGGCAATCGTCGCATAAGTGCTTGCGACTCTTTAGCTCCGCCCACGGCGCGCCTCCAGGAGCTCGGCTGTTTTCAGAGAGAATCATAAGCTGTATTTTTCTTTTATAAATCTGATAAAACTAAAGACTCTTCGGAGATATGAAGGATGCAATACTACTCTATAGGTACTCAAGATGAAAGGGTTAGTTCACCCAAAAATTTAAATTCTGTGATTAATTACTCACCCTCATGTCGTTTCAAACCCGTAAGACCTCCGTTCATCTTCTGAACACAAATTAAGATATTTTTGATGAAATGTGAGAGCTCTCAGACCCTGCATAGACAGCAACGCAACTGTAATGTTCCCAGCTCCAGAAATGTAGTAAGGAGATCGTTAAAACAATCCATGTGACATCAGTGCCTCAACTTCAGTTTTGCGAAGGTAAGAGAATACTTTTTGAGCGCAAAGAAAACAAAAATAACATAACTTATTCAACAATTGTTCTCCCCCGAGTTACGTCTCCCACCATTTAAGAGAGTATCACAACGCATACGCACGCTTTCCCCCAAGTGTAAACAACGCTGATTACGCAGATTAGGTTCATGCGCGCGCTTTCTCCCCCGAGCATAAACAATGCTGATTACATCAATTACGCTCTTGGGTACTCTCCAAAATGCTGGAAGACGTAACTCGGGGGAGAAGATTTGTTGAATAAGTTATGTTATTTTTGTCTTCTTTGCGCTCAAAAAGTATTCTCGTAGCTTCGCAAAACTGAAGTTGAGCCACTGATGTCGTTCATGTGCGTTCAACTCGTAAATACGATCTATCCGACATGATTGAACGCACCATAACCCTTTAACATGAGATTGGCAGAAACTGTGTGTGTCATGTCCCCTTTAAGAAATATTTTCTTATATAATATAATGACAGGTTTTGAAGTAGCTCATGAGGTTTGCTTGTTTAATACAACAAATACTTGAATCATTACGTGGTAAATCTTAACAATACATTTTTTAAATAATATGATTTTTAAGAACATTCCTTAGAAGATTTTGAATTCTTCTTACGTTTTGGGTTAAGAACAATTTTCATCTTTTAAATAACAGAAAATTCTTATTTTTGAATACAAAATGTTTAAAATACTTTATATTACAGCCTGCAATTTACAGTCTATGTAAACCAATTTTAATAAATATAAATAAATACATAGATTTATTCATGAACTCCAGAGACAGTCAATAGTTCCTCTAGCAACACCGTCATAATGTAAAGTCTTTGAGGAACTAGAAATACATAATGAAGTTTATTGAGTACAAAATTATATTTGAGGTTCAGTGTTTCAGTCAAAAGAATCACAAATGAAGCCTCAAGTTTCTTTTCACTTTTACACTGTTGAGTCTCTTCTGGACTTGAGTAGATGAAGAAATAAAAAACATTCTCAAAAATAAATAAATAAATAAAAACGAAATAGTTCATTATATACCAGGAAAAATTGTCTGATCTTCACTTACTACCAACTAAAATAATCTAGTTATTTTGTGCCATTATAAACTGTATGTGTGCCAGCACAGATCTTCTCCAGACTCACTGTTCTGGACGATGTCCTGCATCTTCATCCAGACTCTGAAGGGCAGGTTGCCCAAGTAACGCGGCACATCAATCAAAGCTCCAGAAGGCGTCTGTGGATCCGGCTGTGATGAGATCTGGACTCTGGAAGAACATTCAGGATCAGAACTGCAGTGGCTTTGGATCAGAAGCAGAGAGAGCAGAGACAGCAGCAGATCACTCACCTTTCCATTGAGACTGGAAACTCCTGCAGAACAAACACACCATTGATCATCAACAACTCAATCAATCAATCAATGATCTGAAATCAGACCTTCAGAAAGCCGACGTCACTGGCTTTCATCATCTCCTCCGTGTCTTTGATTGAGTGTGAAAGAGCTGAGATGAGACTGTTCATCTTCTCCAGCTTCTCCTTCATCTTCTGCTCCTCTTCCTCCCTCAGTGCAGTGATTGTAGCTTCTTCTTCATCTCTGAGAAACTGATGAAGCTTCTCAAACTGCTGTTTAATCTGATGCTCTGTGTGATCAGCTTGAGACTGAAATCAAACTACATTTAAGTAAATCGTCTCAAAGACCTGACTTATTCTGAAGCAGCATGAAGAGTGAGTGAGTAAATGTGGGTTAGTTAACTACAACTTAAATACACTTACATATTAGTTGTGTTCGACTTAAAAGCAGCACAGCTCAGGCCGATCAGTGTTTGACATCAAAGTACCTCAAGAGCGTTTAGAAAGCATAAGGAACCGTCTGTATGGTACTTTGATGTTATACACTGATTGGTCTGCACACGCAAACAAAGCCAAAACCTAGATATTTTAGGCAATATGGAAATCCTGGCCAGGACGCGTCCGGGAAAAATGGCACGTATGGTCACCCTACATGAGTTCATCTGACAGCATTGCATTCAACCCTCCAGCAACTATGTTCTAGCCTCTCGTCTGCCGGTGCGCGTTCATGTGTTTTGAAGGAGGCGTGGCTTTGGAGAATGATTATGCAGGGAGGGTGGGATCTTATCCTTTTAAAGCTAGCTTGCTACTGCTAGCCTCTCTGAAATCACCTACCCTACCTTTAAAGGGGTCATATGATGCAATTTAAATGTTTCCTTTCTCTTTGGAGTGTTACAAGCTCTTGGTGCATAAAGAAGATCTGTAAAGTTGCAAAGACTAAAGTCTCAAATCCAAAGAGATATTCTTTATAAAAGTTAAGACTTGTCCACGCCCTCCTAAAACGCCTCGTTAGCGGAGTCCATCCCGGGGTCGTCACATGTGGTTGCCAGAAGCCCGCCGGCCATGCCGTTCTCAAGACCGCTGGCCGTTCCTCACTCTAGTCCGCAGTGTGTGATGCTGTGTGACGCATTTTATGGAGGACTGTTTTCTGAACCTGCAGTTCTGCATAGCCTACAATGGGTCTGCGGCTCAAAGGCTGTTCTATAAAGTGGGGCAGTTCCAACTTTGCAAGGACAGTCTGGTGCTTCTGACTCACAGCCTG